CAATTACAAAAGAAAGTCACCACCATGTAATGTTTGATTGTGACCAATTTTTATTTTGTAACTGCATTGTTGGGTACTTTATGGTAGTATACAGTTCAGCCAATATTTATTTTTGCATATTTTTAATTCCCAAAGTAATATGTTCACATATAACATCTTCCCAATAGTAGTCAACTTTGGAGATGACTTATACATAGCTTCAAGGATGCAAGAACAAGGAAGCAACTCTCAACCTGTGGTTGTTTGCTTTTTTCCAAATAGATAACTGTTAGCATGTTGAGCAAAAAGCTCAATGTTTTCTGTCCTTTGAAACAACTCTTCATCTACAGCAATAGAAACAGCTTTGGGAAAATTCAATTTTGAGTCCCTCATGTGGCTTTTATGTAAAAAAGTTTTCTACGTTTTAAGTGGTAGGGTGCATGCAATTCACACTTATTGCTGTTTTAGCCACAGCTGAATCCTAACAGATTTTTAAAAATCTAGTCTTTGTATATGATTATTAAATAGTTTTCAAAATAACCCATGAAAGCTATTCTGTCTAAAAGATGGGAACTTGATACATGCATGGTGCTGTAAATTAGCTTTTCCTTAAACATATGTAATCAGTAGAGGGTGAATTCACCGATGAACCTCAATAAAGTTCTCGTTTGAGAACTGAAATAAGAGAGATGAAGAGACTTGCAGGTTTGTCATAGCAACGAGGTAATCGCTTGTGACTACAACCTTCTAAGATACAAGATTGTATATTTTTAATTACTTCATATAACTAAAGTGTGGCTTGAAAAAACATAGCCTTCTGGATAGAAAGCATCCAGTTAACATTGCTGTTCAGTACCTTGTTTTATTTTTTGGTATATTTGCTTATGGCATCCAAAGCTACAAATTTTCCACAGTGCTTTCTGCCTCATTCAAGTATAATTATAATAAAAGTAGAAATCTATAGAAGCTCTAAGGTTAAACAAACTGTACATCGTACAAAAAATTAACTTAATTTATAGACAGTCAAAAAGTATTGGCAATGCCCCCTTAATAACTCTGAGCAAAGATTCATCACAAAGGATGTTACAGTCTACACACATGGTCGTCACCATACAAATGCCATCTATATTTACGTGGTGTGGAGCACAGAGTACTTACTAAATGCACATATGAAGAATGAGCACTTTGTACCATGAACACCTTTTAAAGTAACAATATTGTCAACACTAATCTAAGGTACAAGATTTTCTTATTGCATATTTATTGTGGCAGAGGCAGTTAGTTTATGATACAATAATGCAACATCCATAATTATTTTAAATAAACAAAAACATTTCTCCTGCCAACAATATAAAGGATTTTTCCCCTAAAAATCACACAGAACATTGCTACATACTGTTTAACGCAAATACTGAAAGATATGACCTTCAGGCATCTGCCAAATAAGCAGATGTGCATATTTATATGAACTAAATTATGCAAGAAAAATATTGCACAAAATCCTATTATTTTTCAAAATAAAATATGTTTGGGTCTAAATGTACATAATTCCCTATCTCTTGACCAAGTCATAATGTTAACTGGCTTGCCCAACATCATTCTGCCTCTTAAAGAAGCTTTCAGAAACATATACAATGTTACTGGACTTGATACAGGGCTTCTAAAAACTACTTCCTACATTACGAAGTGCTTCGGGGAAATTAAGTTTAGGATTCATTTTACATTTCTAAACTAATGTTCTGATTTACAAATATCTTCTCAGATTCAGGATCTTTGAAGCCAAAGAAAGTAGAATTCTTACCAGAAAATTTACTCATGAAAGTAATCAATCTTCTGGAAATTCAAACAGAGAATGAAGGTCTACTGGTTATAAGAATATTCACAGCTTTCTCTTCTTGATCAGAAATCTACATCATCACTTTATTTAAGAAACAGCTAATTCATGAACATTCCTGGATCCTAGTATTAGGATATGAGCACAGAATCCTAAAAACAGCATTGTCACCTACACAGCTTTAATTGTAAAAGGAAGGGACTATTTCTAGAGGATGCTATTGTCAAGATTTTTTTGAAGTAAAATTTGGATTCCCATTGACATAACTGTGTTCCCAGTCATAGCTCAGTTACTCCTTCCTAAACTGACAAGAGGCCTATGGACTACAAGGAGCATCACTCCATATACAAGGCCCTGTGTTACCAGAGTATCTGACAGTCAGATCAGCAAGGACACTTATCTTTCAAAGTGGTACCTTAGCAGCATCACAGTAATTAGCATGACAATGAAGAAAGCTAATGAAATCAGAAAAGTTTCTATGGTTCTGTGCTCACAGCATGCTTTAAACAGCTATAAAAAACTATTTTGGTGTTAGATTCTTGGCTAGCAACTTCTAAGCAAAATATATTATTGTATCATCATAGTCATTATTATTTTGATACATTTGCAATTCCTCTTCCTTGTGATTGATTCAGTCAAAGGAGGGACTATATTAATTATTTTAGTCCCCTCACAACCTCAGTGATGGTACCTTGCTCAAGACTGGTACCAAAAAAATAATAAATATTTTGTAAATGAAGGAGTTATTAATTTTTAATTGAAAAAAAATCATGCTGTCATTTGGTTAGCAAGACATGCCGAACTAGGTAATCATAAAAATACACCACTTAGCAACATTTTCACTTACCAAGAGCTCCTAAATTTATATATCATCTGTCTCTCCCCAGAAACACCACGCATACAATATCTAAAGGAACAGGATAAAAGCTAGGGTGGGACTCTGGAAGAACATGACCCAGTTCAGAGGTCATGTAAAAGACTGCATGCCAAAACCACAGGCATCAGTCTATACAATCCTACTGAGGAACACATGTTGCCTTTTTGAAAAAGAACTTGAAACAGCAGGGGAACATATCAATATTTAGTTCTGTTACAACAGAAAATATGGACACAGCAGAAAATAATACTTTTGTTTGTTTATTTCAGAACTCACCCTAACGTCACTTCATTCTTATATATTCACCATAATACTGGGAATTTGAGTTTAAAAGCAGACTTTGAATACTCAAAATTTTAATGAATTCAAATACCAATACTTGCTACTAGTCTTCTGAATATTCTTTGTTCAAGAATAATAGGTAGAATCTTGGTTTTCTTTTGTTTCTAATGGAGTGAAATAGTTAATTTTTGCATGTTAAAATAAGGCACAGAGCACTTTAAAATACATTAAGACAATTATGTTGTAACTGGCTAAATATCCTAAAAACAACGTAATATTATAGCCAAACACCTTGTGAGGTGATTGTGAGGTGACTGACTGAAGGATAGAAAAAGCACTCAGATCTCTGTGGCCATCGTGTTTGGTAAGTAAATGGACTAGAGCCCAAATGTAGTTGGTGCTATACCCATGACTGTCTCATTCTCCAAACTATTAGGAAAGTATTCACCCCTTCTAAAACCTGATATTAAAGTTTGCTTTTCACAACTTATCAAGGAATGTTTGCCAAGCAGATAAATCACCAGAGTAACCCTTTTTCCTTCTCACTTAAAACTACTCTTCTGATCTACAGACTTTTTTTATTATTTATTTCAGTAAATTAGAGTTTGTAAAAGACATATTGGGCAAGGACCTAGAATCTTACTTTTGTGCTAAAAAAAACAAGGATTAAATATTTTTTCATATGTAACATAGAGTCTATTCTTATAAGGAAAACAAAATCCATTTTTGTTTTTAGTCATGAATGAATGATTACCTCAAATAAAATATACCCATTTAAATTTTGGAATGTAGTTTTAAAAATACCTAAGTATATATAAGCAATATTTTAAAACAAACCTCACTCTAAGATTTTAATTGAAATTATATTCTTTTAGAAAATAGAGTACAGACTTATTGGGGTTCTTGAGTAGTTTTTCAAACATTAATTTAAAAAGATAATTTTTAAAAATAGTCATGATTGGGGACATATAGAATAGGTTCACTGAGTGTAGAAATAACAAATTAACCATCACATCTCCAGGGTTGTTTTTTCCTGATTATACCTGGTTGTCTAGTCTAACATGATGTAATCAGTATATGATTCCTTCCCTGATGAGTGCCAAAGCATAACAGTAAAATTTAGGGAGACAAATTTCCCATAAAGAAGAATTCCAAATGATTTTTTAAGATACTTCTCTGTCTTAAAAGAGATAGGAGCTTAAGTCCTTACTCCCTAAGTACGGGTGCTCATAGAGACATCCTTCCAAGACTACAGAATAGAAAGGTGGGAAGAGTCAACTCACAGTGGAGAAACCCAGCAAACACTAACTACCTCATCAGGTTATCAAGTCAGTACTCAGAAGGCATGTCCATAGCACATGTCCTTCATATGACATGATGAAAATGGCACTTCTGTGATCTTCTTCCCCAAAACCCATAGTCCTAGTATAATTAGGAGAAAAATAGCAGACAAATCCCAAGAGATGGCACTCTACAATATGTCTGATCTCTACTCAAAATTGTCAAGGTCATCAAAACAAGGAATGTCTAAGATAAACTGCCAAAGCTAAAAGCTGCCTAAGGAAACAGGACAACTAAAGATAATATGGCATTCTGGATGGAATCCTGGGACAGAAAACAGGTATTAGGGAAAAAATTGGAACGCTGAATACAGTATGGGCTACTAATATTGGTTCATGAACTGTGGCAACTGTGCCACATTGACATAAAATGTCAATAACAGAGAAAAGTGGGTGTAGGAATAGATGGGAGCTCTCAGTACTGCCTCTGCAATGTCTCTATAAAAACTAAAAATTCTAAAATACAAAGTTGATATGTTAAAAAGTAAATTTCATGCATTTTGGTGGATAATCATTAGTTAAGAAAAAACATAAAACTTTTTTTTCAGGTCAGTTCATGTTGCAATTGTCTTTCTTGATGCATAATCCTAGACAGCAAAGGCAGAGAGAGACTGTGAACATTTTAATGTCTCATTTGTAAACAGAAGTCATTAACTTCACATTATTATTCAGCACTTCATATATTTCACTGAGTGAAAGGTAAATATATACCTTTATACTGTTTTTGGAGAAAACATGGCTGCAATGTCCTTATAAAAGCAAATTATTTCCAAAAAAGAGCTTTTAACCTTGAAAAATGAATGTTGACCTTCATTTGATGAGTAGAAAAAGGCATTATTGCTCTGCAGAAAAAAAAACTTATCTTTCAGACTTTACATGTAATTTCATAAGTTATTTGTATGCTTAACATAGCTTTTAACATTAAGGCAATTAGTGGGTTAACAATTTCATCAATTTCAAGAGAGTTTTGATAAGTTTCAATATCAGTTCATGCTCAACCAGATTAGTACAGTAGCTACTGGTTATGTGCAAGGATTATAGATGCATACTTAGTTTAAATAAAATGAATAGCATTTAAGCACCAAATACTGGGGAACCATATATTCAACACATACTTTCAACATATATACAACCCGTACCTGATTTAACAGCACAGTAGAAGAATTTGCTTTATATTTAAAAATCAATGGATAGCATATATCCATGAGATGAACAAGGAGGGGAAATTATGTCCCAAAAGAAAAAAAATTAAATAATAGTAAGAGTTGTCATTCCCTCAAATAATTCTGTTTACTAGGCAGAACATAGGGAATCCCAAAATGTCTCACCTTACATCTATACACTTAGATGCAAGTGACTTGACCCTTCATTGGTGATTTAAGCTTGGTTTTCCACTTGTATTTTCTTGTGAAATGTGTAAGACTTGCTGGAAGTCAGACGATGACATGTGACATAATGACACAACTTCGTGGAGCAGTCCGACATCTTCTGAAGTCTCAGGGACTTCTTTTCCTTCTTTCTCCCAGGGAACGAAAGTAGATGGGCGTCGTCCAAGGCTGGATTTAAGCAGGTCATCTGAAATCTGGCTTAGTGTTTCCTTCTGTTCTGTTTTCCCTTGATCAGTTTCAGACACTTCAGGGGTAGCTAGCTGGAGATCCAATCTTGAAGGAGAAGCTGGTTTTTCTATGACAGTAGGGCCACTCACATTGTCAGCACTGAGGGGTCTTTCGCTGTTTTCTTCTTTGAGGATGAACAGAGAATCTGTCAGTCCACTAGAGGAAACCCGCTTTCTGGGGGATGGAGGAAGGTGCTTGCCATGGAGGGCGCTGTCATCCTGCCCAAGATTCCAGTCTGCTTGATCACCAGAAGCTCCACATAGGAGGGCCAGGTTATTCTCACTGGGGGCATTGGATTTATTCTGAAAGAAGAAACAACAAAGTCAGACACTTATAATTAAAGTCTAGCATTTCTTTGGCAATTGTTTTCCATGTGGAAATCAATGCTCGTGTCCTTCAAGGCTGGAAGCTTGCAGCTCCTCCCAGAGGGACTGTAGTATTGGCAGTTAACTCTGACACATCCGAATGAAATGGGGTACACTTTAGTTTTCATGTTCTTATAATTGTCATCTATCAAATTCAAACTAGAGCTTATAATTCATGTGAGGTTTCTAGAGCCTCCTATACTCAGAATGGGGAACCATTCCTCATACTTCTATCTCTTCAGGTTGGTTATTACTTTTTTTAATCTCAGGGTCTTGTGTTTGCCAGACAGTGCTTTACCTTTGAGCCCTGCCCCCATTTTTGAAGAAAATGGAAAAAAATGAGTTGAGTAAACAAATTTATCACAATTTTTCTTAAAAACCCAGGAAATAAAAAAAAGCAGGACTATTTCATAGCTTTTTAATTTCCCAAATAAGAGAACTATAAGATTAAATTGCAAGAAACTACTACTGCTGAACAAAAGACTTTCAGTTAATGACAATAACTGTAAGAACTGGATAAGTGAAAGGGAAAATGTTAAAATTTTAGTACTAGAAACAATTCTTTTTTATTATTATGAAAATTTTTATTATGATATAGTCATTATACAGGGGGATTCATAGCAACGATTCCAGTTAGGCTTGTGTTGTATACTGATTAGATCACCTCCACCATCTCTCCCTCTCAATCCCTTAAAGCCACTGCAAGAAGTTCCTCTGTCTTATTTTGTGTGAGATATGGAGCAAGAATTCTCAGTGATTATGTTTTACCATATTTTTGAAGTTTAAAGTTTTTAACTTACTTAAGATTAAATGTTTCCACAAAGGCAAGAATGCTATCATTTAACTTTATTAGTTAAAAAATTAACTGACCGTGGGCTTGTAATCAATATCATCCATTGATCTAAAGAAATCCAAGCTCTTTGCAGCAGCCAGCTTTCCTTGGTCAGAGCTGTGGGTGCTTAGCGTGTCTAGGATCTCCCCTAGTAAGTCCATTTCACCCGAATAAGGTGTCTTCACTCTTGTTTCCACAGAGTCATCACTTTCATAAAAATAAGCAGAAGCTTCTTCACCATCTTCAGAAGACAACCTGAGAGAAATAAAACATGCAGTTGTAGGCAATGACCCAGGCATGCAGCGTGGAAGCAACTTCTGGTAAACTACTTTCAATTAATCAGACAATTTTAAATGAAAGTGACATTTTAGTGGAACAATGACAAAAAACAACAATTGGCTCACAGCCCAACCAATCTGCATGGCTTTGGAGGTGCATAGCTATATACAGACCAATTTCAAATTCTGGACATGTTAAACATTTGTATCAAGAATAAATAAGCCCAAAATCCATGGTACCCCATCAATCTGGAGAAGCAGCAAAACTTTTCATGCAGTCTAGCTCTGTGGGATTGGAGAACTTTACCTTACAGGTATTAGATTGAATATTAATGTTTTATGTAAGTTTTTCCTTTCTGTATTTGCTCATTTATTTTAGAGAAGAATGCATATTCTTTTATATAGACAGATTTACTCAATGTAATAAAAAGAATGGATGATCCTGTCATCCCCTTATATCCTACTATTGTGGAAAAGTTAAACATAATAAATAAAAGTGATTTCCCTTTATATTAAAATTAATTTTAATACTTTCTACTAAAGTTTGTCTTCTGATGTTAAGCTAGACTTTAGTGTCTCCCTCAATTCAATTTACTTCAAAGTGATGGTTATTATTGCCCCCCATATCTAAACAGCCCTTTCTAGCCAAGGGTGAGAAACTAATTTAGGTGAGCTTCTATGCCCCCTTTACTGCTATCCCAGATATTTCTGCAGGCATCACTGTTTCCCAAGAATAAGATATTTCAAGTCTGGCTTGCTTTCCTGTCCCAAGGCTTCACCCCACAGTATTCCCAGCTCTGGCTCCTTTAGCTGAAGGACATGGCATATAGATTCTCTGAAATACTCATCACCTGAAACTCCTTATGAGGACACCAGAGTCCTTTACTTACTTGCTTGCTCGTTCAATGTCATCATCGTCATCATAAGAGCACCATCAAAGCTCTTAAGAGGCCTCTGTAAGCGTGCCTAGAGAGAGAAATTGACAATAATTTGAGTGGTTTAAAATAAGTCTCTCTAAAGGAACAATGTGATTTTGTAAGATTTTTTTTACTTTTAAAAGAAACATTCCTTCCAACTTTCTGAATGTTAGCCAATAACTTGACAAACAGGGATGAGAAGAAATGGAGGAAATAGGGCAACACTGATCGCAACACTTCATAGCTCCTCAAACTAAAATTAAAGTGAATCACTGGATGGACAGCTAACATGCATAGAAGCAGTCCCTGATTTAAGCATATTTGATTTATTACCAGTCATAACCCTACCAGGCAAACATCCATCACCCGGTTTTTAAAATATTTGCCAGTTGCACATCAGACAAAGGACTGATAACCAGAATATGTAGGGAACTTAAAAAACTAAATTCTCCCAAAACTAATGAACCAATAAAGAAATGGGCACATGAACTAAACAGAACTTTCTCAAAAGAAGAAATTCAAATGGCCAAAAAACACATGAAAAAATGCTCACCATCTCTAGCAATAAAGGAAATGCAAATTAAAATCACACTAAGATTCCACCTCACCCCTGTTAGAATAGCCATCATTAGCAACACCACCAACAACAGGTGTTGGCGAGGATGCGGGGAAAAAGGAACCCTCTTATACTGTTGGTGGGAATGTAAACTAGTACAACCACTCTGGAAAAAAATTTGGAGGCTACTCAAAAAGCTAAACATTGATCTACCATTTGATCCAGCAATACCACTGTTGGGGATATACCCAAAAGACTGAGACACAGGTTACTCCAGAGGCACCTGCACACCCATGTTTATTGCGGCACTATTCACAATAGGCAAGCTATGGAAACAGCTAAGATGCCTCACCACTGATGAATGGATTAAGAAAATGTGGTATCTATACACAATGGAATTTTATGCAGCCATGAAGAAGAACGAAATGTTATCATTCGCTGGTAAATGGATGGAATTGGAGAACATCATTCTGAGTGAGGTTAGCCTGGCCCAAAAGACCAAAAATCGTATGTTCTTCTTCATATGTGGACATTAGATCAAGGGCAAACACAGCAAGGGGATTGGACTTTGAGCACATGATAAAAGCAAGAGCACACAAGGGAGGGATGAGGATAGGTAAGACACCTAAAAAATTAGCTAGCATTTGTTGCCCGTAACACAGAGAAACTAAAGCAGATACCTTAAAAGCAACTGGGGCCAATAGGAAAAGGGGACCAGGAACTAGAGAAAAGGGTAGATCAAAAAGAATTAACCTAGAAGGTAACACACGCACAGGAAATTAATGTGAGTCAACTCCCTGTATAGCTATCCTTATCTCAACCAGCAAAAACCCTTGTTCCTTTCTATTATTGCTTATACTCTCTCTTCAACAAAATTAGAAATAAGGGCAAAATATTTTCTGCTGGGTATTGAGGGGGTGGAGGAGGGGGGAGAAATGACCCAAGCCTTGTATGCCCATATGAATAATAAAATTAAAAAAAATAACATAAACAAGAGATCATAATAGTGAACCATCAAAAAAAAAAGTGTTGGTAGTTGCCACTTTTACTTGTTACTCACCCACACACTCCTCTACACCAAGTATTTTAGAGAAGGGCTTCTAAATCCTTAATGTGTATATTAATCTCTTAGTGATTTATAAAGATGTAAGAATTAGATTCTGAAGCCAGCTGCTGGTGGCTTACACTGGTTATCCTAGCTACTCAAGAGGCAGAGATCAGGAGGATCACAGTTTGAAGCCAGTCCCTGGCACATAGTTTGAGAGACCCTTTCTCAAAAATACCCAACACAAAAAAGGGCTGGGAGGGTGGCTCAAGTGGTTGAGTGCCCATCTAGCTAAGCGTGAGGCCCTGAGTTCAAACCCAAGTACCACAAAGAAGGAAGAGGAGGAGGAGGAGATTCTGGATTCCGGTTGCTGCTAGATCTTGGGGTCACACTAGGAAGTGCAAGTTTTTTGAAGAAAATCCCAGATAACATATCATTTCATCATCTGTATGTATCATATTATGAATTTTAATAAAGATTTTTAAACAAAACCAAAATATCAGGGTCATACCTATCAAATTAACAATTATTCCTTGATACCTTACATTACCCAGACCACATTCATATTGCTCCCCTACCCCATAAATGTTTTATTTTATTTCTTTGGATCAGAAACCCAACAAGGTTAACACTATTTAGTTGACATATCTCTCAAGACCCTTTCAAAGGACTATCAGTTCTACCCACCTCTCCTTTATGATTCTTGTGTCTTTTTGTAGCATGTTATTCTATCTTTGTTTCCTGTCAGCTGGAAGCTACATCTAGAAGCTTAGATTTAATTTCTGATTGTTTGGTCTTTATTTCTGACAAGGACATGCCACAAGTGGTGTCATGATAAGTTTGATAATATCAGCAACTATATTTAGATGTTCAAATTTTGGTGGTTTTAACATTGATTAATGGCTTTTCCAGTGTGGTTGGCTGATTAAAAACTTCCTAACCAACTTTTCACTCGATGGTTCTAGGAGCTTAGGATAATCACTGGCTAAATCCATTATTTTGTTAGGGGCTAGAGAATTAGGCATTCCTTCTGTATTTATTTGTTGTCATTCTATAAAGAAAATTTTCACCTTAGTAATTATTTGGCTATCCCCAACTACAATGTGTACAGGAAAAGCAAGATAAATCATCCATTACTTCTTTTTGTCTAACAATTTTCAGAGTAATGAGTGAGTACCCTAACCATCTCTAAAGGTAAGATATAAGTTTTAAAAAACACTGTACATAGTTGATAAGGTTCAACAAACCATAGTTATTATTATACTTAATGTTCAAACTGTTCCATCTTTAAATTATACCACGATTTTGATTTTAAAACATTCTTTACCTTGAGATATTCATAGATTAAACAGAATGTTGTTGGGTTTCCACTTCAAAATTATGAAGTGGTGGAGAAGGAAGTTTAGTGATCACTGCTGGTGCTGTATGGAAGATGCCTGGGGATTTTCTTTTTACATTTTCATGCAGATACACAATGGACTTTGATCATATTCACCCCCCACCTGGGAATTTTTTATAAGCTTCTCTTTACTATGACATACGTTTTGAAATGTCTCAAAATAAACTTTTTATTTTAAATTATCCCATCTTTGACCAGCGAGGGTCCTTTCAAGTTGGTTTCTGTATTCTTCGACATGACCTCAGAAAAGAACCCTGGTTTCTCCATGTGGAAAATGGCACTTAAAGGCCAGAGTATGGGTGTTGTGGATGCTCAAACTAGCACACCATCTTCCTAGATGGACAACAGCCAGCGTGAATTTGGAGACTTCAACTGTGACACCACAGAGCTAGAATTTTGTCTTCTGATTTTGATCTCCTAATCTAGACAGTTGCCTTCATTTATGGCACCCATGAAGAATAAGTAAATTTTTGGAAATTACAAGACTGATCTCTGCTCCTCCCCTCCTCTATGCTATGGTTCATGAGTGGTAGCTGTAGTAAATGAATAGAGATGACCGGCTTGTAATGTCTTCTTAGAATGTGCATTGAATTTCACATAAGTTTTAATGACTGCTTAGGGCCTAAAATGATAATGTCAATTTACCACCATTAGTTGAAAGTTCATGAATTAAGTGAAAACTTGCAGAATGACCTAGACACAAACCCAGGACTCACATTATTTCTGTGAGGAAAAAAATACATTTCGCTCACCCCCTCCAAAACTCACAATATGTAATAATACAGTCATTTGTTTCTAAAGACAAGTCATTATTGCATCATACATGTTTAGCATCTTGTGAGCTGGAGATTTTGCTGAAGCTTTTTGATGAAACAAATCAAAATAAAAGTTAAAAAATATAAGCTAGCTGAGATTTTATGTTCTATTTGTTAAAATGATTACTATGTAAGAGCTAACATAAGGTTAAACGATAAATGCATCGCAGTTTATTCGTCAAGTGCTTTGCAAAGTACTCTCATACCCACAAGGGGTTAGATTCTTGGAATAGAGTTAAGTCTTTCCATTACATCGCTGAGAGCCTAATGAACCCCACAGTAAAACTCGGTTCCTGCAGAGAGCCCTCATAATCTGCCCAAACTCACATACACAGTGAAAAACAGGAACCAGAAGGCAGAACTGATGTTGTTCTCTGTTTAGTGCAAGTTCCTTGTTTACTTTCTTCCATAAAAGTGACCTTTACATTCTATAGCTGCCTATGTGTACACAGCTCTCAATTGTTTTCACTCCAACATTTTAAAATAAAGCTACTATTTTTCTACAACCTGAAGCACCTGAGTCCTTTATCAGCTTCACAGGCACATTTGAATTTTAGTTTTGTATTTCCTGACTGGAACAAGGCTCTATCTATTTCTATACAGGGGTATTATTAAACAATGTATCTAGATGAAGGGATTTCACAAGAGAATTAGAATTAGGAAAAAAGCAAAGCTGAGAAGGGCTAAGTCACACCACCACAGAAACCAAAGTCTGAAGAAACCTCAAGAAGTAAGTTTGGTTTAGCTATAATAAAGCAAGAAAAATATTTCTTCTTTTTTCATTACAATAGTTCCTGTAAAGCATATCAGAATGTAGAATGGTGAAAATCTTCCCCCCACAAGAAGCCCACTAATCTTGCAGTTACCATTTTGATCACTAGATGGCAGACAAGTACTAATAAGGCAAAAGGCAGGGAAGGTTTAAATTCTTGAGGGAGCTTTTTGAGTAGGGCTAACTGACAGAGGTAGATGAGTGAGAAAAGATAATTTTTTTTGATTTATAAAAAAGATGCTTGTAATATGTGAATTTTGAAGTAGGTACAATCTTTGCTGCTGTCCATTTTTGGAGTTGAAGTAACTGAGGTCCAAAAGTTTTCTGCCACCCAATGTCTACAGCAAGTCCCTGAGCAAATCTTGTGCAGCTAAGACAAAAACACCTGCATTAAGAGAATAAATTGAAGAGTGAAATTGAATTATATGGCAGCACCTTAAAATGCACAACAGTTTGTAATTC